GAGAGAGAGAGAGAGAGAGAGAGAGAGAGAGAGAGAGAGGATTCGAAGTGGGCTCTGGGCTGAGAGGAGAGAGCCTGATGCGGGGTTTGAACTCATGACCATGAGATTGTGACCTGAGCTGAAGTCGGACTTGTAACTGACTAAGCCACGCAGGCACCCGTTATTCTCATTTTTAAAGAATTACCATCAGTGTTTGATGAATGACCATAAATGTCATGTTATAGTAAAGGGCTACCTGTTTTGAAGACAATTCATCAAAACTCATAGGAATTTTTCTGATTTTCCTGAGTGTCAATGAATATATCTTATATTCCTTTAGTGTACTATTTTTTATGATAAAAAAATTTAGTAGCTAATATAGTTACATGGTGCAAAACTCAATGTGAAAAGGTGTACGCTAAGGAGCCTTCCTCCAGTCCCTATCCCCATCCATTCTACTAGCCCCCACAGACAGACACCAGTTTTATTAGTTTCTTTTTATTTTTTCATTGTTTATCTAGGTGACATATTTTCTTTTCTCCTCTTTTCTTATATAAAAGGTAGTATACTGTGTATATGTCTGGTACTTGCTTTATTTTGATCATTATATTCCAGTGCATAGAGATTACCTTGGTATGCTATGTGGACACATCATATTCAACCAGAGACACCAGGATTGTTTTCAAAGGTGAATGCATCTGGTTTTGTTTTGTTTTGTTTTTGAGACAGAGAGAAACAGAGCATGAGCAGGGGAGGGGCAGAGAGAGACACACAGAACCCGAAGCAGGCTCCAGGCTCTGAGCCATCAGCAGAGAGCCCGCAAGGGGCTCGAACTCACAAACTGCGAGATCATCACCTGAGCCGAAGTCCGACACTTAGCCAACTGAGCCATCCAGGCGCCCCAGTGAATGCATCTTTAATACTGGTAATTAGACTGCCATATATAGGGAGTCATTCTGCATGTCCGCCAGTATTATACTTATTTCTCAACACACTCACCACCAGTGTGTTGTTATTGGATTTCTAGAAATCTGATGGATGAAAAAAGATGGTAATTTGGCAAAGGTTTAATCTGCATTTCTAATTATGAGTTGGGCTGGACAGCTTTTCATGTGTTTATGGGTCATTTGTATTCCTAAGCGAATCTGTTGGTCTTTCTCTTGGGGTACAAAGTATGATGCATCAAATGGCTGGGTTGTCCCAACACCTTTTATGAGCTCCCCTGCTTCGCTGCTCTTTTCAATTTTCCTGGTCATTGTATTTATTTATTTCCATTTGAATTAGAGATCAGATTGTGCAGTACCAGGGGGAAAAATCCTACGGGCATTATTAAAGGGATTACCTTCACTTCATGAATGAACTTGGGGAGAACTGACCTTTTAATGTTAAATCTTCCTGGCCAACATGGTATTTCTTCCCATTCATTCAGATCTACTTCTTTGTCCTTTAGAAATGTTTTGAAGTTTTCCTCATAATTTCTGCATGTTTCTTCAGTTTATTTCTAGGTGTTTAATCTTGTTTGTTCCTATTTTTATAATTTCTAAATGACTGCATATATGAAAGTTAATGATTTTCATATAATCATTTTTCATCCCACTGCCTTACTGAATGCTTTTATTATTTATAATTTTCAGACACTTCCTGGGGTTTTCTAGTTACACAATTATATCATATATAATAGATTCTTAAATTCTTAAACATTTAATTTCTTTGTCATTTAACTGCTCTGGCCAATACCTAAAACACAGTATTAGACAGTAGTAGTGATAGTGGGCTTTGTTGTTGTCCTGATTTTAGTGGGAATGCCTTCCAGTGTTTCCAGTGTTTCGGTCCTTCCAGACCGAAAGGATGCATATCCCATA